TACGGAATAATATTATAGATTGTTTCATTGAAAATTTGGTGATGTGTTGGTTATATCGTCAGTATGCTTCAAGGTTTAGCAGAACCCAATTTCACCGCATGGAATGTGATTTGGTTAGCATCACTTTCGACACACCCATCAGTAACGATCTATATTTAAGACTAGGTATTCAGGTTTACACATTCTGACCCGTTGTGCCACTCAAAGCAAACCAAGGAAGAAATGGATGTTTACGTTGCATATACAGATGAATCAGTACACAGAGCAGGCACAAATACAGCTGAATCAGAACTAGAGCAAGGCAAGGTTAAAAATATTTGGCGCCATCATGCTATTTTAGTATGTGTTGCATTGGCGAAATTCATTGCATATTCAATGAGACTAATTTAGATATTCTCATTTTATATTTATATAATAGTTTTAACCTAAGTTTATGATTCATTAAAGCTCAACTGTAAGATAAATCAATACATTTATACGAGTAATATATATTAACTGATATAAAACGGAGTTAAATTAAATGATTAGATTTATTTAAAAAAATATTAAACGTTTCATAAGTATTGTTTTGCTGTAAAATTACTTCCAAATCGGTCCATTCGTCCAAAAGTATGAAAACATTTAATTTATGTCCCAAAAATTAATCTTTTTTGTATGCACATATATTGGCAAATTTATAGTTGTTAAATAAATGTATTATATAGACATGAAATAGGTGGAAGTATATTCCTTTAGAAAATCTTAAAGTAATTAGATTATTTTTCTAGAGAAATTTATGTATAAATCATTTATTATTGCAATAGATTACTAATCCATATGTTTGCTATAAATAGTTTCTAATTAAAATTAACAATCTCTTCTAAACTTTAGTTTTAACTATTATTCTCTTCTTTGTTTTTTAAATAACCTCATCAGGTCTTTTCAGGCCTTCTAAGTAAATGAAGTGAATAATAAACCCGATTGATTTTCGGGCTTAAAAATAGGGAGTTAAATTCGATGCTTAACACTGAATAATTTTGTAAAATAATTCGATACGACAGTAATGAGTCTGTTCTGAATTTTATTCACTATTTAAAAATTATAATATATTTTTAAGCTAATATTCTTGCAGATTCCTACTGTTTTAAGCGAAACTCAATTTATCACTACCACATTGATTATTTTGATTTTTCAAATTACTTTTTTACTAATTGAACTAACCAACTATAAGATCCATCCAGTTGAGTAGGAACGGAACCTGTTTCGGGTCTGAACCCTTAGGTAAAATATCTTCTCTCTGGATCGAATCTTAAACCTTTCGTAACCAGTATAAATACTATATCACGAGAAAATTTTCAAATTTGTTTAAATAAAGCACTACACAACTGAAGAAATAAAATGAATTACTAAAATGGCAACCTGGGAGTGATGTGAAACCAATCGTGGGAAATTGTTACTAACGTTTTTGTTTACCTTACCCACCAATTTTATTTTCAAAATGTTTACAAATTAACACATTATATTTGTTTTTAAATATTTTGTCAATATTCAATCGAAAAATTTGTTAATTTTTTAATTGTCTCTCTTTGTTTATTTATTCATAAGAAAGATTTATAAATAAATATTTATTTTCTTTGTATAATACATGAACTGCATAATTTTATTACAATTTTTGTTTGTCAGTTTAATTTTTAAATAAACTGAATCGGCTTTAAGTTGCTTCTTCAAACATCTATTAACTGCAACAATTATTAATTTAAATTTGATTTTTTTTATACCTATATATTCAACCAAACATTTTTATCCAGCATTTTTTTAAAAATTTATATTTCATTTTAACAAAAAAAATTATGTACCTGTGAATTTTCAGTAAATTCGGTTGATGTTTTTTTTAAGTACGATATTTTTACACTGATGTTAAAACCATAAAAACAAAAATAGAATATTAAAAAATAACATTTAGAATTAATTTTTACCTGGAAAAATAAATATAATATTTGCTGAATGTAGTGACCTCATTCATTCACCTTTACTGTTGTATCCTTTATAATAGAAGATTATAAAGGATACAACAATCTTTTTTTTTCCATAAAACAAGGATAAAGCTCTTAGCGAATTTCACAACAGGAATAATCACAGCAATAAATCTGTTTTAAATTACCCCTTGTTTCTTTTGTTGTTTTTGTAGGCATAAATAGCAATTTGCTAATACCTAAGCATCAGAGCTGGTTAGTACCGGATCAACTTTTATCCAAAGGCTAATATAAATCTTCATTTTGTATTTATTACCACCCGGGTTGTAAACTTGGATGGAAATAGATACCTGTCCTTGGGCAATAAACTCTCTACCCACACAAAATCTGTAGTTATTTAAAAATCTATTTACGATAATCTTCTTTTGGGGTCACTTTAAACCAATTATACAATTATGACAGTTTGTACTACTATTTCTCAATAATATATTTCGGAAACTGGCGGATCTACGGATGGTTTTGGGCCGTCCTCTGCTTTCCTGACATGGAAAAAAATTTTGTTTTCTTTGCACTCTATTTATTTCTGTGAGTTATTTGATCTAAATGAATATATATATATATATATACATATAACGTTATTTAAAAAAATCCCCAAAATTAAACCCTGGATCCGCTACTGATTATTTTAGTCCTTACATATAGAGAGAGCATCAAGAAATCAAATTCTCAAAATTTTCCTTTATACAGGATGTTTCAGTTCTTAATGACCAAATTCTGGAGGAGGATTCTAGACACAATTTCCAACCAAAAAGTTCATTTGATGCATGAACCGATTTCGAACGAAAATAAGTTACTATCAATTTTGTGATTTTTTTTTTTTTTTTAGATGCTCATGGTTGATATTGAGTAAGGTGGTACTATTTAGAAACTATTTAAGATAATTAACAAGGTCTGAGATTATAGAAAATTTATGAGGCCTAATATGGCCTGAGCAGCGTATCTTTTTTATCCCGATTCGTGAATTAATGCGGTATAATGGTAGGCTTAAACCTCCTGAAAGTCCATTTTATAATTGACCTTAGTCAATTTAATCACTGCTCTCTCTAAGAAAATGTTGTCTATGAGGGTGTACTTAGAATTTAATAAAAAATGTGACCACATTTTTTTGGGTAGGTCCTCGCCTCCCTCGCCTTAAAGACTATACGGGGTTTTCTCGGGCTAGGAGGTGAGGACAGGGATTAATGGCAGAGTAAAAGACTCCCCCGGCACAGGGACGCGAACTCGTGACCATCTTAAGAAAAACACAAAATTGATCTTAACTCATTTCCCGTTCGCCATCAAATGTACTTTTTGTTGGAAGTTTTGTGTTGAATCATTATCCCCTCCCCCCCTCAGATTTTAGTCATTAAGAACTGAGACACGCTGTATAAGGTTAGGAATACCCAAAAGGAGATAAATTTTCTTGAGCAATTTTTTACGGCGCTGTGAAAATTCTCGGAGGGAACCATATTTGTGAGGGATTTCAAATTCTGAGAACATTCAAACCACCTAAGAAGGGGAAAACACAGAACAGATCCTCAGCAAGTTTAATTGTGAATAAACTTCAATTTTATAATTCTGCTGTTCTTTTGAACCGTTTTTAAGAAGAGGAAAGCAATACATTTTTTTGTGAGGAAGGAGGATATGCGCCATCGCCCTTCGGATGGCCACCCTTATATATGGTCATGTGTAGGGTTTATTACTAAAACATAAATATAAGCACCACCTGCCAGATGATACGATACCTATTAATATACCGTGAATAAATTTAGGCTCAAATCTGCCTGGCCTGATTCCTGTTCACGGTACGAGACGAATGGTGGCAAATCAAGTATAAAAAGCGGATGATTAAAGAAGCGGCGGTTGGCGGAGGTCCCGAAGGCTAGGGTACCCACTCCTATTCGTTCCGGAGCGGGTCAGGCAACGGTTCGCTATAGAAAAGGGTATTTCTTTTCGTCTCTGGAAAATTCGGGCTTTCTACTTTCTTATCATACATTCTCCATTGAAACAGGATTTTTCAAAATATATTGTCGGCTCATTGTTAATTTTAAATATAAAAATATAACAATAATAACAAAAAGTATCTGCTTTATGAGTATGTTTATGGAGATATTTAATGTTTGTTTTACTTTTGGTATGACCTGGACCCTAAAGAGAAACTATAGGGAAAACAGAACGTAACAGTACACGTCAATAACTAGATTCTCCACTGAAGCTCAACGTTCCTTCCACGCAACAATCTAATTTAAGCAACAAAAATATTATGTAGAGATAACACTTAATTATCATAAGATATATGTAACGTTTCGTAAATAAAAAAATAAAATAAAAGGTAAAAATTAAGCTCCCTCTTCCTCTCTTCAGGCCTTATTTGACTAGTATTAGTTTTAGGATACACCTTCAATTAAAATTTTGTGCTATTGGTTTGGTATGGATGAACGAATTATAAATATTGAATTATATGATCGACAGCATTTACAAATCAAAATTTCTTAATTCAAAATCATTTTTTTTAAATATTTTATCTTTATTACTTAAATAAAGATATCAGTCAAAATAAAAGTTTGTCTAAAATCTTATTGGAAAAAAAAATATATGTGATTTGCTATAGTAATTTAATCATACCTAGGATAATAATTTTATCATTTTTGTTAAATTATATCACGTTTTTCTCATACAGCAATTAACAGCACACGTCAAAAACTAGGTTCACCACTGAAACTCAACATTTCTTATATAATTTAAGCAAGAAAAATATTCGGTAGAGATACAGCGAGTGATAATTAGTGTTGCCCAAGACCAAGGCCGCCCAAGTGTTGCAAGTCCAAGACCAAGACCAAGACTGGTAAAAAAAACTCGAGTTTTTAAACAAAAATTAAGACAAAATAGTTACTAATACTTGACAATGTTAGTTACTATATGTTAATAATTTGTATAACCAATATACTTTTGCATTTAACTCCTCTAATTTTTCATTCGGGCTTACAAAGGTTTCTCCTATCTAAAAAATTACAGTAATATCTCTATAGTAATAAGCTAATAAGTAACTGCGAGACTCTTGCGCAAGACCAAGACCATGACCAAGAATGAGTTCACAAGACCAAGGCTCGTCTCGGTCCCGCATTTGGGCAACACTAGTGATAATATTATAGTTCCACATCGATATGTAACCGTAGGCATTCTTTTCGTTTCTATTCTGTGGTTTTTGGTTCTTACCTAAATATATATATGCCGTATTCTTGATTTCAGTACGTTTTCATCAATATTTCTTATAATTCTGAAAAACGAACAACCATCATCTATAACTTTCCTACAAAGTTCTGGAGCTATTTTTTTTATTCGTTAACAACCTTTTGGAATCCCTATCCATTCGTATTTATTACTCTTTCGCTATTCGAAATTCCCAATCTTATTCAATATGGTAAGCATACCTCAGGTATTAATTATCCCCTACAGTGAGACTCTTTTTTGGGAGTGCATGGGGGTTTATCCATTCATTCATACACGTTCATATTTTTCCATTCATATTTTTTACATATTTCTTCGTTTTAAAATTCAGTTGATGTCAATTTAGGTATTGTGCTTAAGAATAGTCAATGCAATTTAATGATTGTGAAAAATCACTTTTTAGCACTTTTGATTACTGGTATTTAACATGATCCCTCATATTCGATATTCAAAATAGAGAGAAGAGCTTGAAGTTAGTATGCAGTTTTTGAAGTTCATTTACCTTGTTACCTAAAGCTGTTGACTTCATTAAAGAAGGAGTTTTATCTGTTTATCCTCATATTGTAATACTACGTATCTAGAAGGCGCTATTTAAAATATTTTGCGATTAAATTCCTTTCTTATTTATTTATGATATTTTTTTAGTGTAGCGCCTAATAATAATAATAATAGTACTGCAAAAAATAGATTCTACAATAAGTCTGATTTTTTAATTATTATTTTTATCTATTCTAAAAAGTTTACCAATTATCATTAGATTTACCAATCCGACCATTATCAAAAACTAAAAGATAAATGATTTAATTTTCATCAAGATGTTAGTCACATCAGTCGTCTGTCTTGTAGGTCTTTGGAAGCCGATTGATGCAATATCTTCTAACGAACTGGTACTAATAAATAGCCTCAATCTAACTCTACGAGAATTATTTTATCCATGAGAAATAGTTTTTAACCGAAATTAAAACTCACTTTTGTGAAGAGAGAAAGACACCAAACCTAATTTAGCGGATTATTCTAGTTTCCAAGGGTAGATTCCTTTTCCCTTCAAACCCACACTCCTTGAAAATCGCCAATCCACCGTAAAACTGCTACCTATTTTAATCCTCTCTCTTCAAGCTTCCCCCCGAAACCCGAAAGCGTCTTGGGTTGCCTTCCCACATGTTGGAACCATCGGAGCGTCCTAAGCTGGATGGAAGGGATTACATATGGTTTGCTGTTAGGCTGCTTGAGTATGTACTTATGGCTCTTTATTCGCCATAGATGCTTTGTCCTATAATTGGATGTATATATATATATATATATATATATATATATATATATTATATTTTTGTTAGTTAAAAGTACACAATATTAATCTATATATTTTCTAATATTTATTATGAAACTCGTAAATGATGTGTCGTTCTTATTTCAAAAATTAAGAATTTAGTCTCAAAACATTTCTTTCTATAGTATTAGTCATATAATACAGCACAGAAAAAAAACTAAGGTGTGTGCTTTAGACCACACGATAGAAGTGAAAACATCAACACGACGAGATTAAGAATATAAAATATAAATTATAAATGATAGGTCATTATTAAAATTCCGATTTTTATTTTCTGCGATATTTTAATCGATATCTTCCATAAAACTCTCGATATCATTTGGTTTTCGACACTATTTTCGCTTTTCCCCTCTCTTTCACGGATTTGAGTTAAAATACAATTTTTAATAATAGCTCATTACAAACAGGATGAAATGATGAAATGCCGAACATTTCGCTCGCTAACAATATGGAGGTCCTATTTTTAATTTTTGAGATATTTTAATCCTTGTGCAAAAACACTTCAATAAGTCGACTCCAGCCAACTTTGCCCTAGGACATCGGAAATCTAACGGCTCAATCTAATTCACTCTCCACAAAAAAGTACAAAATGCACCTAAAGAAGACGTTCGAATACTTTGAGCCAGTATAACTATCACTTTCATTAATTTCTTTTCCCGGTATTTATGTAATTTGTTGAATATATTAATCGGAATAGATTTTTCGGTGTAGATAAAAATATTTTAGTTAATATTTGATATGCTAATCGACATAGACTTCTATACCCCAAAGGTAAAGAACACTTTGTCACATTTTTGTATTTGTTCAGGGAAGCCAATGTTTTATAACTTTCAGCTAATAATTTTTTTTTCCTTAGTAATTATATTCCTAGAGTCCTGCCTTTTCTTCCACGAATGGAGGGAAAGGCTTGGCTCGGAATTTCCATGAGTGAATTAATTTTGTAAATATTGTATGTTTGTATTTAAGTTATTATTTTGATTAACTAATCAAAATAACAACTTAAATACATTATTATTTTTGTTTATATATATTTCATTTTAGTTATATTGTTTTGCTGTTTAATTTTTTTAATTTATTTTACATAGTGTGAGTGAGCTTCCTGAACACTATTATAAATGTCCTTTGAGACAGATTTTAATATTTCTCAATAAACATGCTGCTAAATTATTTAATAAAAAATGGTGTTCTTTTCCTTCGGGCACAGATTTATAAAAGTATAAAACATATTTATAAAATTGTCTAGATTACGAATAAATCATTAAAAATTAGGAACCTTACTGAATTCTACATCTTTATTTTTGGCAACGGGTTTTGCCTTCATGATATCAATATCATACTCATTATGTACCTTAATTATCTAATGTTTCCTCATTAGGGTTCCTTCTTAATTATTATAAAGTATAAAGTATCAGCAACACCAAGGAATAATAATCAGCTCCTCACCTGCTCTAAAATCCGAGAGTATTTAGTAGATTATTTTTCTTAAAATCCACAGCTACTAAATAGTGGAATAATGAGACGCAGTACATATATCTGATCCCCTCAGATACATACATACAGAAAATACATATATTATTTTATTAAATGATTTAGTAATTAAGAAACAACTTTCAATAAGTCAGAATTATTGAAAATTGACTCCTCTGAGCAAATACAAAAACGTAACAGGGTGTTCTTTGCCTCCGGATATACAGATATATAGTTATATATTAAAAACTACTTTTTTTAATGCGTTTTTGTATAGATTACAGATTTAGAGTTTAAAGTTTATAAACCAATAATTACAATTTGGTCCGACAACATTTGTCAATCGGTGGCATTATTGATTAGTAAATAATTTTTACATGGCTACATTTTTGTTTTTTAACAATTTGAATATAATACAATTTTAGCATAGTATAATAATGCAATATAGTGTAATCATGTTATACATTATAACATAATGATAATGTAATATAATATATATTAAATACTAAATGGCAATATAAGAGATCTATAAAATTATATAATATAATATAAAATATAAATGATATTAAGATCATGCATAGATTCACGGGCGGATCTACGGGAGAGGGGCATTCGGGCTGAAGCCCCCCTTCCCTCTCACCAAAATGGTAAAATATAACCAAGTTTTATGGAAAAATATATTAAAAAATTATCTCTTAAAGTTTTATTGTTCGTGTAATTACATTCAAAACGATTTAAGGAATCACTTAAACACCATTTCTTATAAATAGTTAGTTTCTTTCTTTTTTTCCAAAGTAATTATCGTCATTTTTATGGAAAAAAAAGCTTTTGGGCTGAAGCCCCCCCCCAAAATTAAATCCTGGATCCGCTAGTGCATAGATATGAATATATAGCGGTAATAGTTTATAAGATAATAAATATAATAATTAATAAATATGAAAAAAGCATATGAACGACAATAAGAATAATAGTTTGACCAGAAGGAATAGAAGTTTATAACAACAGAACTGACGTGATAATCAGAGGATTATACGTCGTACATCAATGATTGGAATGACTAGTAGAGGAAAATAAATAATACAATAAGATAAGGAAAAAGTAAAATCGTAGTATTTGGTCCATAGGATTAGAGGTAACCGAAACTCAAATAAAGTGAGAAGGAGTTGATCGGGGGGTGCGGTCAAATAAATACTAAATGATACAAATAGTATTATTTAATTTTTTGCCGACGTTTCGACCCACTCTGCAAGTCTTCATTAGGCTACAAAAGATACAAAACATGGTGAAAATAAAATAAATGAAATAAGTAGATATAAAATAAGAAGAAGTTGTCTGATAAAGAAATAAAAAGATGATATCAGAGATATAGTGGGTGACAATGTAGTTAAAATATCAAGTGTTTTATATATATAGAAGATAGAAACAAAAATGGAAAATAAGTAAGAATAAAAATAGAAAACAAAGGAGAATATAGCACATAAGTTAAAAGTAAACAGATTGCGATTAAAGTAGTACAAATGGGTCGAAACATCGGCAAAAAAATTAAATAATACTATTTGTATCATTTAGTATTTATTTGACCGCACCCCCCGATCAACTCCTTCTCATGCTATATCACGGTCAACCATCTCTACATCATTCAAATAAAGATATATTTTTTAGTTCCCTTAGTGTTAGGTCCGTTTATCAGATCTTGGTATATTTTTAAAGTACGATAGATACGTTTTCGTTCATATTAAAAACTACTAAACATATATGTTTTCGAAAATCGACCACATAACGAGTGGAAAAGCATACTCATCAGAGTGATGCCATTCGCAAGGTCACTTTTACTAGATGTAGAAGAGATAGAGGGGTCGCCATCCGACAGACCTAGTCACCTTGAGGGCGGGCGAGACTTCACTTCGAAGCTTTCAACTATTTCAGACAGAGGCTAATCGCCAGCTGATTTGTGTAGCGGATAACAAATATAGCAGGGCGGATATAGATGTCAGCCTGCCCCTTAAATATACCCCAGCCCCGGGTAGGTCGCCCGCGTAGCCTCTCATCCAAATTGCCTGATAAATATTCTCTAATCACCAAAACATCCTCTCCCTACATTAGCCCAATCTAGAAATAGAAAGAAAACATAAAATTATTTAGGATTTATATTTTTGTCTTGGGAAAATCCTCTTTGTTTTTGCGTCGACCGATCCAAAATATTAGATTATATTTTCTAGTCATATGTTTTAGATTCGGTGCCATTTTTAAAGTTTTTTCATAAAATATT